ATGATGTCCCTGTCTAATATAGTTCAACAATAACTTTACTCATAACAATACTATAGTTTAACAATAAAGCAGAGTATAGGGACTAGTGTAAAGTAATTGACACACCTGCTCGTAATTATTAATGGAATATTCCATGTTTCTGATAATAAAAATTCGATTCCTGTTTTTTGTGTCTCATAGATATCTAACTGCAGGTATCTTTATCTTGGTGAGATCTTCTCGCCCTTGCAATTAAGTGGCGCCATCATTACAATTGTTGCAATATACATGGTTAACTATAAAACAACTCTGGAATGAAGCATACAATGAACACGGATGCATTTGGCATGTGTACAGAGGGTAGTTGGGTTCATTGGAAAACAAGAGAAGGTAAATATACATAAAGAAGTAGAGAAGTTGAGATCCATTTTTCATAAAAAGGAGAAGGACATAAGCTTTTAGTGCAGCCATATTGTACAGAGCATAATATTGTTGAGAATTTTGCTACTTTGGCTGATCAGACAATCAAACTTTCATGAACTTAGAAGCCACAATTACGAATTAGTTATTTCCGTGGAGAATATATTCTCCTGGTAAAGTTGAATTGTATGATACATGAGAGAAATATACTATGTTATATGTTATTTTTTGCATTTGCCCCATGATTTAGTTAATGGAAAGTTTGAACTATGGTGATGCATCCATTGAGGATTTTGAAAGAAGGAATATGCAGCTTGACTTTGTTGCTCTCTTAAAAGTTCGGATGTGTGGTCCGAGTTCTGAAATGTTTCTATTGAAAAGGAAACTGTTTATGCATTATCATAGAGTTGCATTGTAAACCTATCCACATTCCCATTGTGGTTTAGGGTTTAGGTTTTCGAGCTTGGGGTTTAGGGCTGAGGGCTAGGGGCTAGGGGCTAGGGGTTGAGGGTTTAGGGGTGAGGGACGAGGGTTTGAAGGGTTAAGGGTGGAGGGTTGAGGGGTTTGAGGGGGGTTGAGGATTTTGGGTTTAGGGGTTAGGGTTTAAGGTTTAAGGTTCAGGGTTTCAAGTGTTCGGGGGTTCACGGGGATAGGGTTCGGGTTTCAGGGTTTCCAGGTTTTGGGTTTTGGGTCTTCCTTAAGTGACGTACACTCTTTTGGTTTGGTTTTCAACTACTTTCTTTTAGTTCAAACTGGGAAGAAGGCTTGCTTTTCGTTGATCTCTTACTAGTGAACCATCACTTGAACCTGGAATTGAATGACTTGGCTTTTCATTGAGCTAGGGACGTAAACTCTTTTAGGAGTTCCTAAGACGAAGTAGATGATTGAGGGCCCTTCTAGATGGAACCAGGTTAGGTCATTTCGATCGCTTAACCCTTACTGCTCGATTTGCATGCCTTTTTGTGCCTCGATAAGCGTTCTATATTAATGCCTTGATTTCCATGTCTTTTTTTTGTCTTAATAAGCGTGCCATGTCTTCGTCTTGATTTACGATTCATTGCTCTCCTCGATTTACGTGCCCATTTCTGTCTTGATTTGTGTCATTTGTTTTTTAATCTGCATAACATGTTATCGCCTCGATTTACGTGCCTTTTTTTGCCTTGGTTTTCGTGCCCTGCCTCTACTTGCTTGCTATGTTACAACATCGATTTGCATGCAACATCACCAACTCGATTTGCATGACCCTTGTCGCCTCGATTTAAGTACCCTCTTTTTTGTCTTGATTTTCATGCCTTACCCTGCCTTGATTTTGTATGCACCGCTCATCCTCGATAAGCGTACCATGTCCCCGATAAGCATGCCAAGTCATCATATCGGTTTGAGTGCTACATCACTGCGTTGAATTATGCGCCTTTTTTCTACCTCAATTTGCGTGCCACGATTTTGCCTTAATTCGCGTGCGGGGCCTTGTCAACACTATTGGAAGATGACACAAGGGTAACAATGTTGAGGCGGCATTTTTGGATGACGACGTCATACGCGGGGTCATTGTTGGATGATGACGTCGTATGCGGCATCACTGTTGGTTAATGATGTCGTACAAGGCGTCATTATTGAATGATGACACTGTTGATGGCATCGACGACATTACTGTTGACGACGACACTGTTGGACGATGATGTCATATGATAGACATTGTTGAACGATTACGGCATCATTGGCATCACTGTTGGATGATTACATCATCGTTGGCGTCATTGTTGAAAGATGATGCAAACGTGGCAATGTTGATGGCATGGTACTATTGACGAGCGACGCTATTGGACGATGATCTCATCATCTGAGTCATTTTTGAATGATGACATCACTGTTGGAAGATGATGTCAGTGTTAACTGATGATGTCATAATTGGCATCATTGTTGAATAATGACGTCATCGTTGTCGTTACTGTTGAAAGATAACGCAAGCGCGACACTGTTTAAGTGATCGAAGTGCGTGCCACTGTTGACGGTGGGACCATTGGATGATGATGTCATACTCTAAACACTATTGAACGATGATGGCATCATTGGCGTCACTGTAGAACGATGATGTCATTGG